TACACCAGCATTCAGTAAGGAGGCTTTAAAAGAGAAAACGCTACTGCTAAGCCTAGTATCAGTTAATCAAGCACTTGTCAAAAATTTGACTTAATTGCATATGAAAAGGATGTGACATACAAGACATCGGTAAATCTTCACTTGTCTACCTTGGTAAGTTTAATCATATACACTAACGTTTCTGCGTGTGTGTGGCGTATTTCTGCACTTTTTTAACAATGTATTTTCTTTACAAATATTTTGGTGCTGAGAGATTCTACTTATAAAAGTAACTCATAAGTACTCATAAAGAGACTCATAAGTTTTGACTTATTGTTTTAAAAAATCTTGGTAAACTGAAAAGGGAAAATATGATCTTATTTTTAATATAAGATTTCCGTGAAAAGACATCTTTAATCTTTTCTACTTCTGCAACAGAACACTATTCACATGAATATCTGGAAGCTCCCTGCCGAGTTGCAAAATTCTGCATGGAGAAGAGCTGATTATTTAAAAAAAGATAATAATAAAAAATCGAAAAATAAAAAAGCAAAGAGAATGCCTGGTCAAACAATGATCAGTTAGATGTGATTGCACTTCACAAAATAAAAGTCTTGAAAGATTAAAAAGGAATAACAGCAAATCTCAGAGCAATAGTATGCAATCATATCTTTGCTCAGAAGTGGAAAATAGTAATGATTTGTCATTATTGTCATTCATGATATATCTTGAATGTGATTTTTAGTGCTTGTCCATTTCAATAAGCATATGTGTTAATTAGCCCTTATCTATTAAAGAGGAATGAATAGATGCTAATATATTTGTGGCTATACACTACAGTTGTGAGTGAAGCCATTTCCATCATAAAGATATGTTTTTTCTTCCTGTAACCATCTGATTGTCTTCTAATGGCTGAAGAAGTTGTAAAAAGCAATACTTTGAACCAGCAAACTTGATGAAATATTTTGTTTCTAATCGCTTTAGAAATCAACCTGATGGGACTATATAATTATAGAAAGATCATAGTCAATGTGTGATATTCAATAGCTCAATAAAAAAGTCAACATATGATGTTTGAATAAACTCATACTAATAGACAAAAGTGCCCAAAAGAAGCCAGCAATCATGAACAGATTTGAGATTCCTCTTGGCAAACAAAGAAGCCGAATTAAAGAAGAGGTTGAAGAATTTAAAATCTTTGGTTATAACTTGAAATGTCAGTCCAGTTTTAGAGACACTAGTCAACAAAATACCTTAAAATAGAGCTTCATGAATCACAGAACATTAGATTATTGACTGATCAATCAACAGATAAGTTACTTTGATAAATTGTCTTCATTATTCGATTACAACATATACATGTTTACTACAAAATACTTTTCCTGTTGAAAAGAAAAGTAGGAGTGATTAGACTCACCTTACATAAATGTTAAATTGTATTTGCTTAAGCATTCAGCAAGTAATTAGTATTTGTACATAAATGATTTTGTAACAAGTAGGAGTCCGGAGAACTAGTGACTTCATTTTTATCCCATGTACGACAGTGTCACAACACCACTTATTGATAGGGGAGTGGCAGCAAGAAATTAGGTGGCTGCAGTACCAGATGAGCAGAGTTCTTAATTACACAGTCCGTCTTCACCATCTAATTAGTTCTACTGACTGATGCTGACACTGCTTGCACACTCAAAGTTAGCAGCTGTCTGAACAGCTTGCTGAAATTGGGTCCTGAAGCTGTTGAAGCCTGCATTTAAGCAGGTTCAAAGTGCAGGTAATTGTTTCTGTACTAGCGCACATATCTACATTATTTTGTTTAGAATTTTTTGTCCCATTTGCCTGTTTTCCCATATAAAGGCTCCTATGGCAAGTTTCTAAGAACCTTTGCTGATCACTTTTTCTAGGTACACACAGCTATAAATCTTCATGCTGCAAATAAAGAATGCAACAACCAAGCTCTGATTATTCTCCAGACCTGGTCAAAGAAATCTGTACCAGCATGGAACTTTTAAACAGGGAAGATGATCTTGATAAAGAAAATGTTGTTTTGTCTGGAAGCAGCAGACCAGATGTTTTCAGTTCCCGTGAAACGCAGGCTGTATCAGTCTGTATGGACACCACCACCCCCCCAGGTGACTACGTTCAAAGACGAGGTTATGTGGAGTCTTCGCTTCTGAAGCTTCCCACAGAGGAGCGCATTGGGACCCACCATGCACCTTTCCAGTTTGACCGGCATGCTCTGGCCAGAATTTCCACTTCTCCAACTTTAAGGCGTCTAAGGATGGCCTCTGCCTCACAAGCATTCTCATCTCAGGACTGCTCTGACACAGCTCAGCTGGGGAATCCAAAGGAATACATCGGCTCTCTCCACCACATCTGTAAGAGTCCACCACGGTGCACTACGACTTCCTCATTGTCATTGCCTTCTTGTGTCCATGCAAAATTACTGTCTTCCAAAGCCAAGTCTGAGACAACTATAGCAGATCCAGACTCTGCCGGCTCCAGATCAAAGCTGCCAAGCCAAAAAGATCCTCTCAGCAATGGCAGTCCCAACGAAACATGCCAAAACTCTTGGAGAGCCAACTCCGCTACACTACCTAGGAGAGTCCCCCACCCCAGCCCTACACCACAGGAGAGCGTCCAGGTAAGAGGAATAGGGTGACGCAAACTCCTTTTCTGTATTGCATATTCAGTGTTGGTCCATCATGGCCCAGCGCATAAACAAAACCCCAGTTCTTAACCTGAACTGCAACCCGGCCCGAGTTCCTTTGATACAACAGACCAACTTCTACACTCATCAGGAAGGGAGATTTTTCCTTCCAAATCAGCAGGAGACGGTTCCAGCCTTGTCTCTTGGTGATCAGGTTGGCCTAGTCCGCCACTCTTAAAAAAACTGTCCATTCACCCTGGTGGGTCAGTATAAATGTTTGTGGGGCTATGAAAGAACAAGATTAAGTCATTTATCCAGTTCTGGTTAGGGTTTTAGAAGATTATTTTCTTTCGAGGGTTATTCCTAAGCCGAGGTAGTTCTCTATTCTGTTTTGCTGAATTGCATTACTAACCCCAACAAAACCAAGAATGAAGTCATTCAAGATGGTTGAGCCAAATTTAAGGTTTGCTACTACCAAAGGAAGAGATCCCATTCTCTTTCTTTATTTCCACTTACCTAGCTCTGCCACTCACTGGCCCTCTCCATTTTCATGTTCAGCTCCATAAATGAGCAGACAATTGTGCAATCTTTTCGGAAAAAAAAGACACACTCGTCCAATGAGTGCCAGCATCAGCAAAGAGAAAAAAAACAAGGGAGGAGCTAGTCCTCCGTCTTTCCCTGGCAGCAAACTACTGTTCAGCTGTCCCCCATAACTTCACCCCAAGGAGAAAAGGAGAGGCACTGCATAAGCCAGGTTTGCTACTAGACCTACTCTCAAAGACCGGGCATTACTTGCACAAGCAGTTAAATTCGGACACATGCTTGACTCCGTCCTTACGCAAAGCACCTACACACACATTTCACTGAACGGGAACGGTGTCAAATAGGTGTATAGCTCTTCATTAACCGGTTAGTTTTGTGCCACAGACAAAAGCCTATTCCCCCCCATATTTCAAGTATAGAAAATACTCTGGATATCAAATGAGATCTCCTCCTTTCTCCACAACAGTGAAAACAGTTAGCCAATGCCTAAGCCTATGCAGTATATTTCTCTTAACAAATGAGTACTTTTTTCACAAAATCAGATTGCCTGCTTGCTTTCTGACCAAGTAACAAGAATATCTCTCTCTCTTTCAGAAGAGTGGATTGCCTGTACAAAGGTATGCAATATTTGTTTTATCTTTTTCTAAGCTTCACTTCTCTACATTTTTAATGAATCCGCTTCACTCTAAGACAAAACTGAACAGCGAGGCATGTGTGTGTGTAACTCAACTTTAATTTGTAGATCTGCTTTGTGAAATGCCTGTCACCAGCTTGTTAAACTGAACTTTTTAATGAGATTTTCTTTCAAAGGTGACCCTCTCCCCAAGACACTTAGCTATATTTCACACAATATTTCAGCCGGACCATCAGAGAGCTCTGCACTAGGAGCCAACGGCCAAAAGGTCTGGCTGTTTGGATTAGCAGCGTCCAATTTCAGCTTGAAGAATGTGAAACATCTCGTAATCTTGAGCGACATTCTTCAAAACTTTGTGGGAGGGAAAAGGGAGCAAAGAAGCCAACAGAACAGCTCGATATTGTTCTCACACACGAGCAAAGCAGATCTAGGACTGCTACTGGATGGGGGGAATTGTTAATCCTACAAACTAAGAAGAATATTTGAATTTTATAAGTTGGCACAGGCAAGGTACTGCATTCCGTAGATCTGTGCAGTGAATTGCATCAAGCTCTCGCAAGCAATCACCACAAAGTACAAGCTTGACTAGAAATGAGTTTGATTCAGCCATGTTTGTTTCCTTAACATGTTCAAATGTTTACAGAAGGGAAACAAAGCGTATTTTCTGCTCACACAACAAGGAAGTAGGAGCTAGTACCTCCTGTAATCACCATACCCCTCTCCCTAACGGTGCAGCGCTCACTTTGCTGCATGATCCCACGGAAGGTCTTGGGTGGGGTGTGCAGGTGGGTGAGGCACATTAAAAGCACCAACACTGATGAGCAAGTCTTGGTGAAGACAGAAGTGGCCTCACAACAAACAGCAATACACTGCTGCTATGACTCTACCGTACCATGTTTCACTTGTTAAGGCAGTAGACATCATTAGTTGAGCTGTATCTCCTCTTCTTCCCAATGTTTACTCATTTTTCAGGTAAAAGCTCTGTTATAACCTGCAGTTTTCAAACAGGTCTGTGTTTCAAGCACGTTTATGTTTGGGAGTGGGTGGGCTGGAGCAGGCAGATGCAGCCTGTGAGTCATTACACAACGCAATTCCCCAGACAAGGCTTAATAACAGATGTGTGTCTGCATCTGAAATCCCATGTTCACTGTAGAAGAGGCCTCCTAGATTTTCTGAATTGTTGCAATTTCCAACCCACTCTTTCGCATTTTGAATTTACAATGGAGATGGAGAGAGGAGGGGAGGGAGAGATCTGTGCGCCTCGCTGTGAAAACAGGTGATCTGTACCTGTCATGGGAAGAGTCTGCTCTGATCCAACTCAAAACTGTAATACGTAAGCATATCTCACTGACAGGATGAAGATTCGTGTGATCTGTAGCAAACTTCAGGGGAGAATTTCAAGAATATGGAATGAAAATAGCTAAACAGGACAACATTGAACATTTAACGTGCACACCTTGGTGTCACTTGCCTGGCAGCTTCAGAAGGAAGCCACTATATCCCAGCTAGGATATTGGCTCTGGACTTCTATCCAGACACATTTTAAAATCAAGAAATCACACAAGGAGCAATGCAATCTTTGTTGCATAACCACCAGCACGAAAGCTTGACAAAAGCAGGTTTGGATGATGTATTATGATTTCTATTTTTTTGGCTTGACCAATATTAGAATGTGCAGAAATATAAAACAAAAATCACCAGTTTCTGCTTTAAACTTTTTTTATCAAGTTGAATTTGGGCTGCCAAAGGTCTGGGCAAGGGCTTTATTCAGCTCCTCCTTTATCCAAATCATTAGTCTAACTCCTTAACAGCTAATCCCTTCTTATCACAGCCAGAGAAAACTGCTGAAATGTCAGATTATTCTCTCCATCTAGAAGCACACTGGGACAGTTGGCAACCCTTCTCCCTGACAGACTTACGTATCGTCCAGGGTAAAAACACACCTCCATCCTTCAGTTTTAATGAACATCACTTCTCCTCACTCCCAGGTTGTACTTTCAAAAGCCTTTCCTAAAGCAGCAATGCTCATTTTAAACAGCCTTCCCCCACATCACCCTCAGTCCGGAATGCCGGTACCTCTCTGTCGGCATGGAAACATGCTGAACTGATGCTGATTAAAAATCATCAGCCAAAATAAATAAAGAGGATGAGAGGGGCAGCACAGAGAGAGGTGTGTGCGGTGAGAGACGAGGTGAGATGCGAAAACCAACTGCCGTGGAAAGAAACGTCAATAAAACAAAACTTTAGTTTTCTCTGAGCTCATTTTCTCCTTGCACTGTTCAGCATAACAGAGACTGGGTGGAAAACTGGATTGCACTATTTCCTCAAGACAGCCAGCTAATGAAAAGTCTTGTCAATAACTGCCAAGGCAGCTCATTTTCAATTAACTGAGGAGCTGGGCTCAGCTATCTGGAAGAGCTCCTCTTCCTCTTTTAACATCTCCTATGCTCATAAAGCATCGTGCTAACTCTTTGAATGAGGGAGTCCAAATACCTTCCAAAAGTGGCTTGGGTAACAGTGTCATCACAAAATCGGTTTGGCTGGAAGAGACCTCTGGGGTCATCGAGTCCAGCCTTTGCCCTAACACCCCCATGTCAACCAGACCATGGCACTCAGTGCCACCTCCAGGCTTTTCTTAAACACCTCCAGGGATGGGGACTCCACCACCTCCCTGGGCAGCCCATTCCAACACCTAACGACCCTTTCTGGGAAGAAATGCCTCCTCATTTCTAGCCCGAACTTCCCCTGGGGCAGTCTGAGACTATGGCAGCTATCTCAGTACTGTGACCACCCTATAACACTGACCTTTGCAACCTCTTCAGTTGCTTTTATTTTCAACTAGTGGGTATTCCTTTAAATAACATACCTGTTACTGAAGTAAGGTGATTTATATAGATGTCTGTTCCCTAGAACAGCTAGTTAGGCTAAGATTATGGAAATACAAAGATACAGACCTCTGAAAAGCAATCAGCTGAAACTCTCCATGCCCTGGAAAGAACTATATACACAGGATGCTTATTTTTCCAGGCCATGAGCTGCTTCAGTGTCTTTAATAATTTTCCATAACTTTGTAATGCAAACCTGTGACATTATCTTGTTTCACAAAGCAAGTAGATTTAAAGGAGGAATTATTACAGATGACATCTCCTCAGGTGCTTGAGTTTATCCCTAAAGTACAAGAATTTCTGTCACTCAAACACTTCAGTCCTCTGCCCCCAGTAAGAAAACCAAACAAAAACTAAAGAAAAAGGCAAAGCTACTGGGTCTGCAGGCACAAAAAGATGCTAAAATGTTGCATACCGACTCAAAAACCGGTAAATTGCATTACGCAGCACTTCAGTAGCTTACTTTCTTCAGTAAAACCAACAAAAGCACCTAATATATCTAATACGTCTACAGGCATCAGGCCAGGTCACTGATATCTGTACCCTCATCTGTGAAGCATGAGTACCTAATTTAGGCGTGTAAGTAATTAATCAGCCCAGGCAGGTCAGATTGCAAAGGTATATTGTAGATTCACATCCAAGTGACCTTGGCATGCTCCCACAGGTCACAGGCTTGCGTACCCATGTGAAGAGCTTGTTTAGGCATATGTGTGTCTGAAACTCAAGGCCTTTTTGATCTAGGGAAATAACACCATTTAACTCAGTTAGAATGAAACTAGGCTACTTATCTTCATAAACCACTGGTCTCCAACTTCAAAATATATTCTGAAATTAAAGTAAGCTAGATACTTTAAAAATCAATAGCGCATTGGCAAAATTTTACTGTGAATCCAACCTGAAATAAATCTCCTAAATTTCCTAGTACCAGAGCGACGACTCTAAGAATTGTC